GGTTAATTTTCCGGATGCACCGCGCGGAAGCCTAACCGTGAAGGGTTGGCGCGAGTGGATGGGACACCGCGAGTTTAGAAAAACTCGCTTCCATGGTTTGGTGAATTCAACATTCTCGGATGTACCTTTTGTTGCTCAGAGCGTTCAATCAGGTAGATGGAGCATGAATTCCCAAGGGGTTATGTCCATATGTAGACCACATATGGGTTTTAGAAAAGTGAGAAAAACTCAATCAGGAAGTAGGATCGAGCTAATAGTGCTAAAAACTAGTCAAAATTAGAACGCATATTTCTGGTTCGGTATTGGAAGAACTTGGCGCCAACAAACAGAGATTGGCGCCGGATTTTGGCTGTAGCACCTGACGACAAAACTGTCGTCTGGCGCTACAGTCAAAATTCTGGCGCTAATTTTCTGTTTGCTGACGCTAATTCCTACATGCCTCAGCAGCTTTCTGTGCTCGATAAAATATTCCAGTTTCGCGCGGTGTTATTTTGATCCTAGTTGTGAAAGATATTTCTCAAATTTCCTACATGTAAAATCCTATGTTTAAACTCATTACGGATGGTCTTTCCAATGAGATCTTTTTATGTATATGACAATAATGTTAAACAAAATTACGCACATGAAATACTTAGAATGTTTCGAGTTTCATCCACTCATTCTAAATCATTGCCGAAACAAATTCAGGAATTAAAATAGAAATCCTCCCCAGTGGAGTCACCAAAAACTGTAGGGAATATTTCAAGCATTGATCCCCTAGTTTGAACTAACCCCACTGTGATCATACACTAAAGTACGGTGGCGTCCAAAGGGAAAGAAGATAGAGCAAAAGAGTCGCCAACAAGTTTTTTTAGGAACTTGTAAAACGTTCACAAGGTGAAGGTTACACCCCTTAACGATCCAAGAGATCGTCAACTCCATAAGGTCTTGAACCAAATACGATTCGGGGATGAAGGTACAAATCCAACGTAAAAGAGATTGAACCTGCCTTAATAATAGGCCCCTACTTTATTCTGGTCGTATTCATGTGCGCTTTCTGACTAACATGCAATCAATAGGTTTACCCTAAACCTGTTTAATCTATGTTGGTTGAATATTAATGCACAAATAAATCTATTATTGGCGATCACTTGAATTATAATCAAATTAACCCTAAACAAGATTATTAATTATCTTATTAAGCATGATTACAAGTACAAATTCCCTTTAAACATGCATAAAAGGTGTGATCAAGCAATAACAATAAATATCATCAAGCAACATAATAATAATCATCATAATAATAATTATAACAATCATAAAATTATAATCATAATCAAAACAATTATAAAAATAATCATGAATCATGTTAAAGCATAATAATAGCAAGATCCTAGGCATGATACTAACAAGATTAATAACAAACCCTAGCATGTCACTAAACAATATAATTCAAATCTTTAGCCCTAACATGATACTAACATGAATAAATATTAGAAAGAACATAAAAATCATCATACTTTTAATCATACTTGATATTAAAGTTACCCTAGACATGATACTATGAATCAAAATAACGATCTAAGCATGATTTCTACATAATAACATCAATAAAACAATTAAAGTACTTACTTTGATGCCTCGTACCTCTTTCTAATAACAAAATACACACGTTAGTAACTTCAAGGAAAATAATAAACAAAACAATTAAATTAAATAATAATTGAAAGAGAGATTTGGGACCAAACCCTCAGAAATTAAAACCTTTCACGTCTAGGGCGAAGGCAACTTCAAATATGGCTAGGTGTATCTGGATCTAATGAATGCGGAATTTTTATATTTGAGAAAAGGCTAGTTTAGAAAGGAGAGAGAGAGTAATCAAAAGAATCTTGATGAGAGTTGGTGAATCAAAACGGAGTTTTTACGACGTTATTTATAAAGAAAATCAGCCAAAAAGATAAAATATCAAAAACAGAGTTCTTACGCAAAAAACCGAGTTGACGCCAGACGCTGACCTTAGCGCCAGACGCTAAGGTTGGCGCCAAGTCTAGCGCCAGGCGCCAATCGTAGCGTCAGGCGCTACAGTTGGCGTTTGGCGCTGACTCAGAAATCCACGCGTTTTCTTAAAATCAGATAAAAAATTGCCTTACAGGAGGATAAATTGTATTTTCCTCAAAAAATGTTCTTTGATTCTAATTAAAACTCTAAAAAGTCAACAAAAGTCAATTTATCAATGCTAATTGAATTAGGAATGAAAAGAACCTTCTAGAAGAATCTAGAAGACTAAAACCATTCCTAATTGCATTAGGAATGATAAATCTATATTAGACCCTCCCCTAGATCATTGGGCCGCATGTAAGGCTCAAACCAGGCTCAGTTCAGTAAATTGGCCATAATTTCCTCAATATTCATCGGAATTGGGCTTATAATATATCGTTGGAAAGCTCTTGTCAACCCCATCCAACTACACTACTATTGGACCCATATCATGGACCAACCAAACTGGATTGGATATTTTCATAAAATAAGTTTTCAAAAACAGGGAGAAGAGAAAGAAATTAAAACTATCCGCAACACTAGACTTTCCACACTTTCACTTCATTCGATTATGATTCGACGCGAAAGGTACTCATCACTGGGTTTGGTTTTGGGGAGACACAAATGGGTTTCTACACCAAGTAAGCCTTTTAATACTGACCGAGTAACCCTATAACACTAACGAAGTATACCCAATTAACACTGATCAAGTACTCTTTCAAAGTAGTAACCCGAGTCTCACTCTTGCGACTAGGGTTCCTTCTCGTCGGAGGTCTGAGTTTTGATTTCTCTTGCGTGTTCAAGCCTTCTCCCCTGTTCAGAGGGATGTTTGGACGTTTCTCTTTTACCATGGCTAGTGAGATTCTTGAGAAATTGGCGAACTTCTCCATAACTGCGAAGGAGGAAGACATTGAAGATTTAGGGGAGACGGGTGATGGTTCTTGGATCAGAAACTCGCGCTTTCGCTTGTAGGGAAATTATTGACCGTTCGTTCCTTTAATTTTGAGGCGCTTCAGAGACCGATGAAACAAATTTGGTCTCTGAATCGTGATGTGGTTTTTAGGAAGATTGAAAATAATATGTTTGTAATTCAATTCTTCCATTGGCGTGACAATAAGAAGATCTTAGATGGTGCTCCGTGGAATTTTGACAACCAATTACTTTTATTGAAAGAAATACAGGGGGACGAACAATCGAAAACAATTGAACTGAAGTTTTGCCTTTTCTGGATTCGATTTTACAATTTACCCCTTGATTGTCGAACCAATGATGATGTGAAATTGATTGCTGGAAAAATCAGAGTTGTGTTTGAAGTAGAGGATGATGAACTTGGTTGGGATAAATCGAGATGGGCTAGGGTTATGGTGGACACCATAAAAACTTTACGAAGAATTCAGAAAATCCGCAACAAGAAGGGGGAAGTCACGATGGTGCAACTTAAATATGAAAGGTTATCCACTTTCTGCTTTGTTTATGGAGTTCTCGAGCATACCGAGAAAGATTGCACGAAGGAGGAGGAAGAGAATGAAGGTGAAGAGAAACCTTGTGGTTTGTGGTTGCGAGCTTCTCCTAGGAAAGGGCGCACCAAGCGTACTGAGGAGGTTTCAAAGCTGCGCAAAGCAAAAGCTCTGTCTTTCACAACAAAACCGCCCGAGACTAAACAAAGAGTGAAGGATAAGGATGTTGCAAAGTTGGACTATGTGATCCAACCTCAATCTGAAGTCATAAGGGGGGTGGAGGACAGCATTATATGTTACAATGGAAAGACTAGTGAGGCCAGCCCCGAAGCTCTTGGAGTGTTTGATAAGCTTGAGGAGCAGAAACGTGTGGGAGTGGAGGATGCATCTGTTGAGACAAAGAGGGGGTTAGAGGAAAGTGGGATTGTGTCAGAGGTTTAACCTTTTATTTTTAATGCAAACACTTCTAATTTAGGGGTGAGGAAGTGGAAGAGGGCTGCTAGGGGTAGTGAGAGGGAGATGGAGGTGGATAGGGAGGGGGACTGTGTGTTAGGTGGAATAAAGAAGAGGAGTCAGGGAGAGGTGAGCTGTGAAGCTGATCCTTTGGGAGTTAGTGGTGCAAAAAGAAACAAAACTTTGTCTTGTGAGCTACTGTCTCCTATTTCTTTGACGGAGGTTGGCATGGACTAACCCCGTCAGTCATTATGAGTACTTTATGTTGGAACTTCCGGGGAATGGGCAACCCCGAGTCAGTTCGTAGACTCCGTAAATGGAGTAATATAATAGCCCCTGATCTAGTTTTTATCTCAGAAATTATGACTTGTAAGGGTGCAGTGAGAAATTTAAAGGAGATGACAGGTTTCTCAAATGCTTTAGGGGTGGCTAGGCGAGGTAAATTGGGAGGTTTGTGTCTTTATTGGAATGAAAATGTCATTGATTTCACTCTCGTTTCTTTTTCCCAAAATCATATTTGTGGTGATGTGAAGAAGGGAGGGGTGGCGTGGAGGTTTGTAGTGATATATGGGTGGCCGGAGGGTGGGAACAAATATTGTACATGGGCTCTTATGATGAGGAGGCCACTTTGCCTATTTTGTTTGGGGGTGACTTTAATGAAATTCTGTCATATAAGGAGAAAGAAGGAGGTGTTGATAGAGATAGAAGTGAGATAGCTCATTTTGGAGAAGTTTTTGATGACTGTGAACTTCATGATCTTGGCTTTGAGGGACAATGGTGGACGTGGGAACGTGGTAATTCAGAGAACACTTGGGTTAGAGAAAGATTGGACCGTTTTGTAGCCTCTTTCTCTTGGCTACTACTATTCCTGCACGCTTATATTGAAGATTTGTTGAAGTATCGTCTGATCATTCCCCCATTGTGATTAGAACTAAGGTTACAAAAAAGAGAAAAAAGAGAAATAAGCAGTTCAAATTTGAAACTTCTTGGTTGCTTGATGAGAAGTGTAAAGCTGAGATTAAGAGAGTTTAGGACTTGGTGGAGGGGCAGAATGTGACTTATAAAATTACTACTATGGGTAGGAAATTGCTTGAGTGGAGCAAGAAGCATTTTGATGACCTTGGTATTAAAATAGCTGATGCCGAGTTTGCGTTGAAGGAGCTACAGCAGCAGCCCATGTCTCGGGCAGATTGTACCACTCGGATTGAGCTTGAAAAAACCCTCGATGATCTCCATAATAAACATGAAGCTTATTGGTTTGTTCGTTCCAGAGTGTTGGAGGTCAAGGATGGGGACCGAAATACTAGCTATTTTCACCATAAAGCATCTCAGAGAAAAAAGAAAATCACAATCGATGACTTATTTGATGATGAGGGAAATTGGCAAGATGATGAGGATAGGATCGAGAATGTAGTGTGTAATTTTTACACACGATTATTTTCTTCACATGGAGCTTCAAATAGTGAGGTTTGGGAGGTTTTGCAGCATGTAGACCTGGTTATTGGGCAGGTCGGGTCAGGGTCGGTGCGGGTCGGTTGCGGGTCAGGGTCAAAGAGGGTCACATTTTATAGGGTCAATATAGGGTCGGGACAATGCGGGACGCGGGTCGATAATGGGCGGGCCTACAAAATATCAATTAAAATAAATATTGGACAAAGCCATCATTAAATGCATTTGAATACAAATTAATCTATATAATTATTTTTACATTATGTATTTTCTTTATCAACTAAATTGGAAAAACATGTTGGCCCTATATTGACCTTACCCAATAAGGGCCCTGTCCATTAATAACCCTATCCATTAAAAAACCCTATAAGCTTGGCCCTGACCCTATCATCATTAGACTACCCTGTCCAATAACCACCTCTAGCAACATGTTAAAACTTTTGTTCCGGAGGATAAAAATGCATAATTACTACGACCGTATTCGAAGGATGAGATCTTCAAAGCTCTGCAACAAATGCACCCCTGCAAGGCTCCTGGCCCTGACGGTATGCATGCTATTTTCTGTCAAAGATTTTGGCATATTGTTGGTGATGATGTCTATAATTTTGTTAGTAGTATTTTACATGGTCGTTTATCTCCGGAGAGCATAAATAATACTAACATTGCCTTGATCCCAAAAGTCAAAGATCCAAAAACCATGTCTGAGTTCCGTCTTATTAGTTTGTGCAACGTTTTGCATAAAATTGTCTTGGAAGCTATTGTCCTTAGATTAAAATCTATTTTGCCGGGAATTGTGACCGAGAACCAAAGTGCTTTTGTTCCTGGTTGTCTCATTATGGACAATGCTTTAGTAACTCTGGAGCTATTTCACACAATGAAGAACAGAAGCAAAGGTAGGAAGGGCACCATTGCGCTCAAGCTAGATATGAGCAAAGCCTATGATCGTGTTGAGTGGGGTTTTTTGCGGAAATTGCTTCTAACCATGGGTTTGATGGTCGTTGGGTGAATTTGATAATGAGTTGTGTATCTACCGTTTTTACTCTTTTACTGTGAATGGTAGTGTGTGTGGTGCGGTGCTCCCCTCCCGGGGGCTCCGCCAAGGGGACCCTTTATCTCCCTATTTGTTTATTTTGGTTGCAGATGCTTTCTCCCATATGTTGTAGAATAAAGTGCAGATTGGAGAACTTCATGGGGCAAAAGCATCTAGGAGTGGTCCTGTTATTTCTCACTTATTGTTCGCAAATGATAGCCTCTTTTTTGCTAGAGCAAACAGATGTGAATGCGAAGCTATAGTTGATATACTCAACAAATATGAAGTAGCATCTGGTCGGAAAATTAACTATGAGAAGTCTGAAGTTTCTTTTAGCAGTGGGGTTAAGGCCGAGCAAAAAAGTGAGTTGATGGGTGTTTTAAATATGCGCCAGGAGCTAGACACGGGAAGTACCTGGGGATCCCAACTTTAGCAGGGAGATCAAAGAAGGCAATTTTTAGAGATTTGATGGACATAATTTGGAAAAAGCTTCAAGGTTGGAAAGAAAAATTATTATCGAGAGCTGGCAAGGAGGTACTCTTAAAGGCGGTCATTCAAGCAATTACTACATACCTGATGGGTGTGTATTAATTTCCTAGCTCGGTTATCCAAAGTATCCGATCGGCAATGGCTCGTTTCTATTGGGGTCAACGAGATAATAAGAGAAAAATTCACTAGAAGTCATGGGATTATATGTGCACTCCTAAATGTCTCGGTGGGATGGGTTTTAAAGATCTAGAGGTCTTTAATGATGCTCTTCTAGGTCGACAAGTGTGGAGGCTAGTCCACCTGGAAAGCTCTCTATTGGGTAGAGTTATGAAGGCAAAATATTACCCAAATAACTCTTTCCTCGACTCTTATCTTAGTGTGGCAGGGAGTTTCTCATGGAGAAGTATATGGAGCTCAAAAGCTCTCCTTAAGGAGGGCTTAATCTGGCGCATAGGAAATGGCTCGAAGTTGAATATATGGCGTGACCCTTGGATTGCAGATGCTGAAGGGAAGTATGTGTTGAGTAAGGAAGTTGAGGGCTTGAATACCGTGAGTGACCTGATAGACTTTGATGCACTAGTAGAAAAATGTACATTTGCGTCGCCATATTTGCGTCACTCATTCTAAGGAGCGAAGCAAATGTTTTATTTTACCTTCCTTTTAAATTATTTGCGTCGCATATTATTTAAGAAGCGACGCAAAACTCAAGTGCATTTCAGCTTTCTATCATTTGCGTCGCTCCTATTTATTAAAGCGACGCAATTAATAAACTTATTTGCGTCACTCATTAGTTAGCAAGCGACGCAAATAAGTGATTAAGTAAATTGCGTCACTCTTTTACTAATGAGCGACGCATATGTACATTGTACAACATTATAAACAAGGTTATTTGCGTCGCTTTTTCATAATAAAGTGACGCAAATAACTCTTTTGGCTTTAGGTTTTTTCTGCGTTTTTTACCTTAGTTTTTCATCAGGTACCTACATTCACTATACAAAAAGAAAAAAAAAACAAGAGTTCTTAAATTCCAGCGAATTTCTACAGCAAAACACCCACAAATTTGTCTCTGAAATCCAACAAATTCGGCCAAAAACTTGCGTTTCCCCAGCAAATTTAACATCTGAAATCGCAGTGAAGTCGAAGACCCATAATCGGCTGCAAATTCGAGCAATTTCGAGCAAAAATTTAGACCAAAAACCCTAAGAAATTCGAAGCCTTAAACCCAGAAAAATTGATTGTTTCCGACCAAAAATCCCCCATTTCGAGCAAAAAATCAACTCAAAAGCATACAAATTCGAATCCTAAAAGCCCCAAAAAATTCAATTTCGGTCTTCAAGTTCGATTGGGGGATTTCTAGGGTTTTTGGCAGCGACGCAATATACCCTAAGAAATTCGTCCCATTTCAGTCATAAATAATTTTTGTTCGAATTTCAGTCAAGAAATTACAGCAACAATAGGTTAAGTCAAGAAATTACAGCAACAATAATTGTTTGAATTACGTCTTTTTCTGGGTTCAAGTCAAGAAATTACAGCAACAAAAATTCGAGCAATAACTGAAATTTTCGAGTGGAAAAATCGCTTAATTTCGCCCCAAAAAACCCGAGGAAATTCAAGCAAATTACAGCAACAACAATTGAAGTTCGATTTCGGCTCGACATTGTTGAATTTTTGAAGTCAATTCCACCTATGGTAAGAGTGCTTCTATTTATGTTCAATCTTTTCTTGGTTTAAGGCTTCGAATTCGGGGAAGATTAATAAGTGTGCTGAGTAAGCTTAATTTTCAAACTTTGGCTATTCTTACATGATTCATAATTATTGTGTCTCTGCTTGGTAATTTTGCAAACTTTGATTTAAGTTATTACTGCCTTAATCTATTCTAGTCTAGTACAAATGTACATTACTTGATGATTTAAGTTATTATTGCCTTAATTGCAATTAAAAAGTCCATTATGATCTCGGGTTTAGTCATTGAAGCATGCTGAATGAGCACTTCAGTCGAGTGATACATTGTTATGTCTATCTTAGTTGTAATTAGCCTAACAGATGATTAAGGTTTACGTGCTCGCATTTGTAAGCATCGAAAAGTCGATATCCATCATACATACTGTCATGCAGCTTGATTATTGCTGGCATGCTGTTCAACATACCTTAAGAGCATGGTTCAACCCCTGGCCTAAGATCTGCCTTTTGGTCCAAACTTAACTTTTCCGGCAGTTGGAAATTGAACCTTTTCTGAACTTGGACCACAACAAGCAATTTAAGAATTAACATGAAAATATAAATATAAATATAAATATAAATGGAAGTATAAAATGTCAGTGTAATCATTGAAGTGTAGCAAACTTAAAATTTACTGTAATGAAGCTTTAGGTGTCGGCTCCTGTAATGGTCTTCACATATTCATCAGTTCTGTAAGACCTTTTTGTTTTGCTGGTATTAGAAATTTAGTTTAAACCTTTATTGAAAAGGAGGCAATGTCAGTATTTCTTAGTCAACTAATGTTATGACTATTTGGCTAATAATGAAAAATAGTGTAAATGTACTTTTTTAACTAGTGGTTTTTAGTGATGATGGTTTTTAACTTGTTTTTAAACCTAGTATCAAGTTTTCTTATCTGTTAAGCTACTTTTGAAGGCCTAAATCTGGAGGAAAAAACCCAGAATTATTATTATTATTATTTTTAATTTTTTTTTTTGTAAGTCTCAAGCATGAACAACTGTCATCTCCGATTCATTAAAATGGAGAATCCGTATGTTCCCTTGTAAATGGTTGAATAAAAGGAAGTTATTGTGAATCAAATGATCATTGATAAAACAATTAATACATATGAAATTATATAAGGGAATGGTGTTGTATGCATTGCCTTTTATCTTAGTGTAGGGCTACCGGGGTAGATTCTAAAACATTGCTAATTGCAGATCATTTGATCCTTACGCTTAAGTAAAAATTGATATGTACTGTAATACACTTTGGTTATGCATGACATATTCATCCTTTGTTACATTAATTCACTTATGATTCTAGTCTATTAGCCGCTTCATCTATATATACTGCTTGGTTAGTTCTCATCTGGAAATATTTTTTTCTTATTGATTTCTAAATTTTGGTTGGTTTAAATCTTGGCAGTACTTGGATGAAAACAAGTCTTTGATTCTGAAGATTGTGGAAAGCCAGAATTCGGGGAAGATTAATGAGTGTGCTGAGTAAGCTTTATTTGCAAACTTTGGCTATTCTTACATGATTCATAATTGTGTCTCTGCTTGGTAATTTTGCAAACTAGTGCGAAATGGTTAGTACTCTAGTTTTTAAGGCAATTGGGTCAGATTAATTATCAATTTTATCATACTGATCCGTTCTTTCATTGTATGGTTAAAGGTGGTATGCAAAACGATTTCTACATCCTGACATTGTGGCACCATATGATTACATATTTATCTGGGACGAAGATTTGGGAGTGGATAATTTTGATTCTGAAAAGTTAGCACTCTTTCTGCATCATATCCTCTAATGTCTTGAGCTATTCAGTACAGAACTTTTGTCATTTTTTTTTATTGAATTTTCAGATACGTTGATTTGGTTAAGAAACATGGTTTGGAAATTTCACAGCCTGGTGTGGATCCTAATAGTCCGTTTACATGGCAGATGACAAGGAAAAGACATGACAGTGAAGTTCACAAGTAATAACTACAAATGATGTATAATTTATGCCCAGTTATCTTCCTTTGCAACAGAAGCAGGATTTCGATATTAATTACCAAAATATTGATCTGAGTTGTTTCTTGGGTGCACTTTGTAGGAGCACAGAGGAGAAACCAGGATGTTAAATTTCAGTTAAATTGTTCAATTTTTGCTACAAAAATGGAGAATGATTCTTCCAAGAAAATTGAAGTTTCTGCCCTAAACCCCAATTTACAATCAAGAGGTGCTTTGGTTGTATTAGAAGGGTTAGATCGAAGTGGAAAGAGCTCTCAGTGTATTCAGCTTCTCTCTCACTTGCAAAGTATTGGGTATTCTGCTGAGTTATGGCGGTTTCCGGATCGAAATACTGCTGTTGGGCAGATGATCTGTGCTTATCTTTCCAATCAATCTAATTTGGATGATCATACTATTCATCTTTTGTTCAGTGCTAATCGTTGGGAGAAAAGGTTGTTTCTTTTTTCTTTTTATGATTGTTTTTTTATACATAATTTGTGAGTTGCATACCATGTGTTTGATGTTATGTTTAGCTGAATCTAATTCCTTTCTATGTTGTTATTTATTGGTTAATTTATTTGGTAAGATCTGAGACATGGCTGTTAAACCAAATCTTAGTTTTTTCATAGCTTGCATCAGACTGTACAATTTTGGTAAGGCTGTAAGGTTAATAGGTTTGACAGTGGTGACTTTATCTTGCATAGTGTCATTATAGTGATGCCTGCAATACATGTAGTGCAGGTTATACTAATTTTCTTTTACTTAAACATGTTCCAGTTTCTTGCAATGTTCTTTTTATTTTTGTAAATTATGTTTTTTAACTAGATTATGTGAGATAGTTGCTGTTTCATCAAATTCCGTAATAATGCCATCTAGATTTTCATACGATGCTGAATGATAACAGATGGTTGATGCCTGCTTGCCAATGGAAGAAGTCCAGAAGAAGCTCAGAGAATATGTGCTTGAGTGTGTTGTGGCCTGCAAAAATGGAAGGGCTCTGTCTCACTTCTGGTCACAATAGGCAAGCTGCCATATGCCTCTTGCTCGCTTGGGCGAAATTGTATACTATAGTTAGTAAACAGTAGTTACCACGTTTTGAACTCTAGGTTGAGCTGTTGAGGTACTTCTACCTTTAAGTTTAATTCTAGAAGTTGGAGTTGTATTATACGTTGATTTGGTTAAGAAACATGGTTTGGAAATTTATGGGTAGGCCAAATTACAAAGGAGACTCTGCCGAAATTTACATTTGCATTATTCAATAATATTGCATTTTAATTTCAATTATATTAGCGTTAGCATATTACTTTATACCTAGGAAAACAGGTACTACAAACATATACAAGGCAATTATTATATTATAATTAAAAAAAAAAAATTCACCTCATTTGCGTCACTCATTAAACAAACAAGTGACGCAAATACATCAGTTTTGTATTGTCTACTCAGTCATTTGCGTCACTCCTATATAAACAAGTGACGCAAATAACAAAAAATAAGTTTATTTATTTTTTGTTATTTGCGTCGCTTGTTTATAAAGGAGCGACGCAAATAACAAAAAAAGTTTATCTGAAGAGTCATTTGCGTCGCTTGTTTATAAAGGGGCGACGCAAATGACTAAAAATAAGTTTATCAGAAAAGTCATTTGCGTCGCTCTTTTATAAAGGAGTGACGCAAATAACAAAAAATAAGTTTATCTGAAGAGTTATTTGCGTCGCTCCTTTATAAAAGAGTGACGCAAATAACAAAAAATAAGTTTGTCAGAAGAGTCATTTGCGTCGCTTATTTATAAAGGAGCGACGCAAATGACAAAAAATAAGTTTATCAAAAAAAGTCATTTGCGTCGCTCCTTTATAAAGGAGCGACGCAAATGACTCTTATTTGCGTCGCGCCTAGGAGCGACGCAAATGACTTAAAAGTCATTTGTGTCACGAGCAGTTGCGTCGCTCATAGAAGTGACGCAAATACACTATAAATTAGCGACGCAAATGAGCCTTTTTCTACTAGTGATTCTATGGAGTGGAATTTGACTACTATTGCTGAGCATTTCAATGAGAGGGACCAAAGATGTATTTTATCGATTCCACTTAGTTTGCGAGCTCCGGAAGATAAGCTTACTTGGGCATTTTCGAATGAAGTTTTATACATTGCCAAGACAGCTTATATGCTACGGAAGGGATACAATTTTGATGCTTTTCATTTAGCTTGGTTCGAAATCTGGGGTATTGAGGCTTCTCCAAAGGTACGACATTTCCTTTGGCGTTTATGTACTAATACTCTGCCTACCAAAGATTTGTTGCGGAGACGTCACTTGTTAGAGGAGGCTTTGTGTTCTTAGTGTGGCGTGGAAGATGAGACAAGTGAGCATGCCTTGTTCGATTGCTTTCGAGTGCAGAATTTGTGGAGTGAGTGTGGTTGCAAAGAGCTAATTTTAAACAGAGAGGGTAGTATGTGTGATCTCTTGGTGCAGTGGAGAGGGTCTAATATCTTGTTAGTATCATGCCTAGGATCTTGCTATTTTTATTATGCTTTAATATTAGCATGAATATGATTATGATTATAATTGTTATAATTTATGATGATTATGAATATTATTATTATTATTTTGATAATGATTATTTTATTTATGATTATTATTGTTTTGATTTTATCTATGATGATTATTATTATGTTGCTTGATGCTTATTATTTATTGCTTGATCACATCTTTTATGCATGTTTAAAGGGAATTTGTACTTGTAATCACGCTTAATAAGATAATTAATAATCTTGTTAGGGTTAATTGTGATTATAATTCAAGTGATCGCCAATAATAGCTTATTTGTGCATTTATATTCAACCAACATAGATTAAACAGGTTTAGGGTTAATCCTATTGATTGTATGTTAATCAGAAAGCGCATATGAATACGAGCAGAATAAAGTAGAGGCCTATTAGTAGGGCAGGTTCAATCTCTTTTAGGTTGGATTTGTACCATCATCCCCGAACCCTTATTTGGTTCATGACCTTATGGAGTTGACGATCTCTTGGATCGATAAGGGGTGTAACCTTTACCTCGGGAACGGTTTACAAGTTCCTAAAAAACTTGTTGGCGACTCTTTTGCTCTATCTTCTTCCCTTTTGGACGCCACCGTACTTTAGTGTATGATCACAGTGGGGTTCAAGCTAGTGGGATTCTAAAGGCTTGAAATTATTCCCTACAGTTTTTGGCGACTCCACTGGGGAGGATTTCTATTTTAATTCCTGAATTTGTTTCGGCAATGATTTAGAATGAGTGGATGAGACTCGAAAAGTTCTAAGTATTTCATGTGCGTAATTTTGATTAACATTGTGTCATATGCATAAAAAGGTTCTCATTGGAAAGACCATCCGTAATGAGTAAAAAACATAGGATTTTACACGTAGGAAATTTGAGAAATGTCTTTCACAACTAGGACTGAAATAACACCACGCGAAACTGGGTGATTTTATTAAGCACAGAAAGTTGCTGAGGCATGTGGGAAGTAGCGTCAGGGGCCAGAGCTTGGCGCCAAACTTTTAGCCGTAGCGCCAGACTCCAGTATTGGCGCCAGGCGCTACAGTTAAAAGTTGGCGCCAGTCTCTGTTTGCTGGCGCCAATTTCCCCCAATACCGAGCCAGAAATATGCGTTCTAATTTCGACCGGTTTTTCGTATTGTTTGCTCGATCCTACTTCCTGATTGAATTTTTTCTCACTTTTCTGAAACCCATATGTGTTCTACATATGGACATAACCCTCTGGGAATTCATGCTCTATCTACCTGATTGAACGCTCCTGGCAACAAAGGGTATATCTGAGAGGTTGAATTCACCAAACCATGGAAGTGAGTTTTTTCTAAAAACTCGCGGTGTTCTATCCATGCGCGTTAACCCTTCACGGTTAGGCTTCTACGCGGTGCATCTGGACAATTAACCATGGACCCTATTTGACTAAACCATATCCCGAACTTTAGAGAACTAGAGTCATGGTTAGGTTGCGAACTCATTGCATCATATTGTGCTTACTTGACTAATTGTGCATTATTTGTTGTGCATATATATCCTATGCTCCTCTTAACCGTTTGTTGATTTGTGTTGAGATTATAATTAATGACTTAAAGAACTTTGCCTAATTAATTAATTAATTAATTTGAGTCAATAAAGTTTTTTCTTCTTTTAATCGGAATCGACCTAGTACGACTTTAGGCATACCCCAGTTGACTAATAATACCGAAAACAGTCCCAGACCGAGGCTCCAACATTGGTGCCAAAATCTGAGCTGTAGCGCCACTGTATGGTGTGTAGCGCCAGACATTTACTAAAAAGTCTGGCGCCAATCACCATATTGTGACGCCAGTCCTGTCGCTTGGCCGACAGTTTGGATTATTTGTCGAGTCATCACCTAGGGTCTAATTAACCAGTTTACTAATTAATTCGATTAATTTTCGCTGTCAATAACACCTTGTCAAGTCATTAATCGAGTCTTGGTCACATAGTCTAGACACATGGTCATGATACGAGTCTTAACGCACCATTTACACTCACTAGTCTTAGCACACACTTTGAGTACACATCACCATGACCATGTCGTAGGTCCATGCATGAGTCGGTCTTTCGGTCTTTCCGTCATTTGAGTTGGGGGGTACATTCTATTCCTAATTCTTCATATCCCTCCATCTAAATCTTTCTTCACATTCTTCCATCTTTCTTCACCTCCTCCATCCATTGCATGTTGAATAAAGTTTGAGTCAAATAATTAACAATAAATATCCCCAATTTCCTTTTCCACAGTACTTGGTCGAGGAGAGAAGGGCGATTAATCAAGGACAACCGCTTTATTCAAGTCTCGCTTTTTGATAAACCGATTCGTTAAAAGAGGAAGGCTAAGAAGATAATGGCAACTCAAGAAGAAGTCAATGAGCTTAGGAACCAATTGGTTACCATGACTGAAACACTGAAACTACTCACCCTCAAAGTTGATGATCCCGTGAAGCAACAACGGATGGACCTCATGCAAGAAAGCTTGAGCAAGATATCTAGTGACTACAAATTTCAGGGCATGAGTTCGCAAGGGGTCTCGCTAGACAAGGAACTTCTTCCGCATAAGTTCAACGCCACTGACATCCCTAAATTCAAGGCAACAGATAACCCTTAATTCCATCTAAGAGCTTTTGAAACTATAATGAGCATTAAGGGTATCGATAAGAAGGTTTTCCCCTCTCTGCTCCCACTATCTCTTGAAACCGTTTGCCAACAATGGTTCTTCTCCCTTGATAAGGAGAAAACCTCTACCTGGGAATTGATAGTGAACGCTTTCGTCGGTAGGTACAAGTGCAATACCCAAGTTGAAACCGACCATAGACAACTTGAGATGCTAAGACAAAAAGAGAATGAAGGCTTTACTTCTTTCTTTAATAAGTGGAGGGAAACTTCCGCCAAGATGATTGAGGTCCCCACTAAAAAAGAATCCGTGAGGATGTTTATCAAGAATCTCCAAGAAAAGTATTCAAAGCACTTAAAATATCAACACAACTTGAATACTTTCAAGGATGTCTATGACGTAGGTATCGAGATCGAAGATGACCTCGCAAAGCAAAAAGCTACTAATAATAGCAACCACGGTGGCTGGAAAGGAAAGAAGAGCGACAATCCTTCTTCTTCCGAAAATGCCTACTCTAGTAATAATGTTAGTACCTTTGACCATAATGGTGTCTTAGCCATAGATAATCAAGGATCTAAAAGGAAACTCAGGCGAGAATTCACACCCATTGGAATGACCTACGATGCTGCTTTCGATCGTCTTTATGATCGAGGATTAATCAAACCTATTGGCCCTACCGAGGATCCAACACCAGAAAATCGATCTTCGAGATGGAATCCAAATTCCTATTGCAAGTACCATCG